ACTCAAAATCTTCCTTCCAACTCCAAATACACCTCTGGCTATTGTTCCCACTGCGGGCAAAAATCTGGATGCAACTCCTGCTAATGCGCCAAATAAACCCATTTCTTATAGGATAAAAATGACGAATCCAAACAAGGACCCCTATGTTTCTAAAGCGACAAAGAAAGCACTCATGATAAAAATCTTTAGTTCAACACCAAATGCTTGGTTTATGGATATCTTGGAAAACATTCCGAGGTATAGAGAAGATGGACCTCCATACTGGCTAATATTTGTTGGTCAAAACACAAGATACTGTGAAGCCATACCATTACAGTCCAAAAATATTTTAGATGTGAAAACTGCTTTGACAATATTCGTTGACAAATACCATCCAACAAAACTGACATCTGACTGTGAAAGTTCTTTCAAATCAGACGATATTAAAAACTATCTGCGTTCAAAAAATGTAAACCAATATTTCATTGTCGACCAAAACCATTCTGCTCTTGGTGTCATTGACAGTTGTATAAAAATCTTAAGAGACTTAAACCAACCACAAGGCGGCGAGGTAGATGAAATGTCATATGACGACAAATATAGACACTTCTCCATGGCAAAGATGAGACAAGTTTTAAATATTTACAATAGCCGTAAACAAAAAGGTTTGGGAAACCACTCCCCTGAAGAAATGAAAAACAACCCTGACTTAGAGAAAGACTATATATTTAATAGTTTAGTCAAAAGAGACAAACAAGAAAGAATGCCAGGCTTCAAACTTCAGAAAGGTGACAAAGTAAAAATAGAAATACCTAAACGCGACCCATATGAAAATACTATTGACTATGACAACAATGGGAACTCGACAGGTACTCGCATTCGTGTTCGTAAAAATAGAAGAAAGTATACAAGAGAATATTATGAAGTTTTAGGCAAACATGGCAAAATGTACACACTGCAAGCAGAAGATAAAACTACTATTGTCAGACCTCGTTTCAAACTTGTTAAGGTTCAAGGTGGTATACTTTCAAAGACAGTTCCTAACAAATATAAGACAACTCCTGACGAATATGCTAAAGAAGTTGAAAATGACGACTAAGCATTTCTATACCATGCGTAAACTGTCATGTAAGGTGGCATGTAGTCTTTACTTTGTCCCGTTGTTTGTGTATATCCTGAAACGAAATGTGTATGGTTTCCTCCTACCTCAGTGTTATCCAAGTAACAATTTATAGCAAACTGAACGTCGTTTTTAACATCATATCCTTTACCTTTTGTCATTCCTGTCCAATCCCAATATTTATGCCTATGCTCACCTTCTCGAGATGTAGTTAAACTTACGTAGTGACTGTGCGCAGGTAAATTTGCACCTGAAATCGTTTTACTTCCACCTGTTTCCTTTGAAGAGTTTGCACAATACAAAAACCTGTCGACTATTTGAGTCCAAGTTCCAAAACCAAGTACTACTTCTGGTCTGGTAGAGTTCATTGACGTATAAATAGAGCCTATAGGATATAATGTTTGAAGTATTTCTGTCTTTAATGTTTGAAGCTCTGTTTTGTCTGCTTTCTTGTCATATAAATCTTGAGCAGTGAATTTAACTTTATTTTCATCCTCCATGACATAAACATCTTTACATCTAATGTTTCTCATCGTTGTTATGTCTTCTTCCGATGTTAAACCTTGTGGAAAGTTAGGAGGTTTCCAATCTAATACATCCCCACCAGCTCCTTCAACCGTTCCTTCAATATTTTCTATACCAACAGTTGCGAAGAAATCGTGTGTATGTCCAACGTCACTTTTCTTGTTTAAGGTTTCTTGTAAGTTTGTAATATCAGATATGGTATGTGTATGAGTCTTTTTAGAATATTCTTTGTCAGCTCTTGTCACTTCACTTGACATTTTATTGTCAACATATGTTTTGTCAGCTTTGTCATCTAACATTGCTGGTAGTTCATCTACGTCATAGATGTTATGTGTATGATGTTTTTGTGGGTATGTTCTATCTGTCCATGCGAGAATATAGTCTCTTGTTGCATCTACATACTCTTTGTCAGCTTTGTTGTCAATATCTGCTTTCAAAAGAAGTTCATCTATAGGTTTCTCGTTTAAAGTTCCTTTTGTTGGATTTATACAGACAGTATGGTTCTTATTGTCTTGAAACAGAAACTCATCTGTCATTGGGTTTAATGTCAGTTTTAAGTTTCCTTCTTTCAATGACTCAGATATCTTAGAATAGTTTGAAAAGTTTGTTGTGTTCTTATTTAGAGCTTGTATAATGAGTTGTCGGTTGTGTTTTATTTCTCTCATAGACGCTGTTTCATTTGACATTTTTATTCTAGATAAAATATGCTTCCAATAGAAAAAGAAAATTCAAGAGTTGCTACAACTAAACCATTAGATGAACTTTTTACTAATGTCGGTCAAAAGTTGAGACAGAGACCGTAAAGCATGAAGGCTATCGTTTTGACTACCCATTAAGATGGCTAAGAGACCCATCTGTCACAAAAGCTATTGGCTTTCGTAGAATGAAGTTTGTGTCTGTAGAAGATAAAAGTTTTCCATTTATTGTAAGGTTTCATATAGATTATATATCTGAAGGGAAACGAAAAATGTGGGAAGAAATTGAGCTAATACAAGTTGACCTTTCATCTTCTCTACAGACTGCGTTAAAAAATATAGAAGATAAAATAAATTCATGTTATGCAAAATATGCTGATGAATATGCAAATACCGAGAGCACACTTTATGTGAGAATTGTATATGACAAACAAAATTCACAAGTGTCATTTCAAATCTACGAAGACAATCCAAAGAAAGACGAACAAATATATACAGAATTCACTGCAATGTCATGGTATTATTTGCAAAGAATGTTAAATCAGAAAGTCGAACTTCCTTTAGCAAATATTTACAGTCGATATGCAAGAGATGAACCATATTTATTTAAAGATGTTTTCGACCCAGCTGCTATTATTGTTCATGCTTCATTTTCTGGCGCCCAAAACTCTTTCTTATGCTTGGCAAATGACTTTTACGAAAAACCTACAAAGTTATACGAACCACCAAGTGGAAGTATTTCAGACTTTCAAGTATGGTTTACTACAGATGGAAGAAAAAGAATAATTCCATTATACCACGCGTTTTACTTAGAACTTAGTTTCATATACAACTACTATCGAACGGTAAAAATATAATTTTTTAATACGGTTGAGGTGTTGGATTTGGTTGCCAACTAGACTGTGGTGCAGGTTCAGGCTGTTGTATAACAGGAGCTTGCTCTTCTGGTTCAGGGTCTTTAGGTATAATACCAACGAACTGACCTACCCTTTTACCAATATTTTTGACTCCGTTCCAAATTCCTCTTCCTACGGTTTTTATTCCATTCCATATACCTCTTCCAACATTTCGAAAGAAGTTTCCTATCTTACTGAAGAAACCCATTTTACTATATGTAAAAATCTAATGTCCACCTAGTCTCTTACGTTTCCTTCTGAGTTCCATAGCATTCTTTAACTGGAGCTCATACATTCTATTTCTCCTCTGGTAGAAAACATACTCTGGGTCAACTCCTGTGTTCGCGTCATCTGCATAAAGTTGTTTATATCCCACTTCAGGGTTTGTATAAAACTCTTTCCATCTCATATTTGCATACCATGGTGGCAAACCTAACGCAGCGTCATTTGACATGGCAGTTTGCATTTGTACATCTGTTGGCACTTGACCATAGTTTGCCATTGCAGTTTGTATTCTAACTTCATTTGGAATATTCTCTGGGTTTGGTTGTCCAGGTTGCTGTGCATTCGCTAAGTTCTGTGCGTCCATTTAATATTAGATAAAAATATCTCTTACGAGTACATATACTGAACATTTGCAGGCATTGGTTCATCTTCATATTCTCTGTACTTTTCTGCCACGTCAAAGAAATAAATGACACAATGGAAAAAACCTAAAACAAGTAGTCCGATTTCAAACCACATTTACTTACTAATAAAATTTCTTTGTTATGACACTTTCTCCAGTTTATAGGACCTCTCTCATATTCTATCTTGTCATATATAAACTCATAGTCATGTATGTCCTCTAACCATCTCATAACACTTTCCAAACCACTTTTATCGGATGTAAAGTAAAAGCATGGATGGTTATGTAAAACGTCTAAAGTTTCTAAAGAGTCTCTCAAAGTCCAGTCTGCTTGGTATTGAAAATCGTATGTGTTAAAGAACGGCGGGTCTACTATAAAGAAAACATTTTCCTTGTCTTTATATTTTTCATACAACTCTGTCCAATGACATCTCACAAACTCTATACCCTCAATATATTTATCTATGTCCTCTTTGAAAACATTTGTATAGTTAAGATATAAAACTTTTGACATAAGTGTTTCAATGTCATGAACTCTTATAGCACCACTATATAACAGTCTAGCAGATATACTATCCCAGTCAATATACTCTGCCTTTTTCAAAACCTCTCTGACAGTATTTTTCTTATCTAATGGTATACGTTCCATCTTACCTATAGGTATCTTTTCTTTTAACTCTTTCAATATTTTGTTTGTGTCTGGTATATGTTTGAGACGGTTCATATAGTTGTCGAAGTCATTGCATATAATCTTTGAGTCAGGAAATATTGTATGGCACAAATGAGATATATAGAAACTTCCACCGAACAAGTCTACAAATGTTAGACCATTCGGTAGTTTCTTAAGTTCTCTCAATATAATATCTTTACATTTACTCTTATTTCCAAAGAAGGGTAACGGTGGTTTTGTAAAATTCATTTTATATTTAATAATAAAAATGTTTTTTCCTGAAAAGTGACCGAAAAGTGACTGGGGGCTAGAGGGCACGAAGTGCCTGGAAGCCCCACTACCTTTTTTTTTTTTTTTTTTTTTTTTTTTTTTTTTTTTTTTAAATGGAGATATTCGTCAAATAATTCAATAATGGATCGCAATATAAATTTATAACTTTCAAGAAAAATCAGTGAATAAAAAAAAATGATGATGTGTAAAAAAGCTTTTATTCTATATAAGAAATCTTTCTTAAGTTAGGCTTTGGATCAACATCTGTGGATCTGGCCTTTCCGAGACCAAGGCCAACAACCAAAGAGCCTTGTGGTAAATTGCAAATCTTTTCGACTTCTGGGCGAACAAGAATACCCATTGGAACAGATGCAAGACCAAGTTCTGTAGCAGCTGTAAGGATGGCCATCAAAGCAATACCTGCATTAACTTGTTCCATGCCTGTTGCACGCTCATTCTTGACAAGGAGGATGCAAGCAGAGCAATCATACATGATTTTCTGGCTTGTATGGTATCTGATCTGTCTATCAATATATCTCTGTTGGACTTGTGGCTTTAAATTGTCGAAGACTTGATCGTTAATGTCTTGTAAGACCTTCTTGTTAGTGATAACAACAAAATCAATGTCTTGGCAGTTCAATGTACTTGGAGCGTTTGATGCGGCCTTGAGAATCTTTTCAATATCTTCCTTTGGGATAGCATACTCTGGGTCATAGCATCTGATTGATCTACAAGCTTCGATAGCAGAAATTGCCATTAGGAGAAATGATTTAAAGTTATCGTTGGCCTATTGAAATATATAGTCAACATTTTACGTTCTAATTAAATCATTTAGTACAATTAATAACACTAAGGATTAATAATGCGATAGGTTCAAAACACGCTTTGAAAAAATTGAAATCAAACACATCTCAATCTCACGGGTTTGTTAATTTGTCTTTTTGACAGTTTAAATTAAACCATTTAATAGCAAGCAAATTTTCTGATGTTATTGTTGCTCTCACAGAAAGATTGTGACTGAATTCAATTTAAAACTTTGAAAAAATATTCATTATAATGAAATATGAAAAATTCTAATTTATCAAATTCAAAAAAAAAATGATGCGATGTTTTTTAAAAGTAAAAATAACATATTATTAGTGTTTTAATATATATACAAATAACAATATAAAAATAATCATTTTCTAGATTTGTATTGAGTCATCGGACGAATCACTTGTTTCAAAGGTGGCAAACTCAATCTCTTATTAATAGCTATTGGCTCTCCAGACATTTTAGTTGTAGACTGCCTTGTTTCTGGCCTTCTTGCCACGCTTGCCGCTCTCTCCTCTCTTTCGTTTCTTTTAATTTCCATCTGTTTTTGCTCTTTCTCGTGTTGAAGTGTTTTCAGTTTATTATTCAAAGGAATAAGTTGTTTCTGGTATATTCCTTCCATACTTGCTTTCTTATCATTGAACGAGCCCTCCACAGTGACTTTTTCTGCGCTGTACTTCTTCACGACTCTTTCACAAGCGACTTGGTATGCTGAGTTCATCTTTTCTGCCGCTTCCTGACTTTCCTGATCTTCAAGTGTTGCAATTCTCTCTGCCAGTGCTGCTCCTTCCTCGAATCTATGTGCACCGATCAATCTCTGCGCTGTCTGTCTCATTTCTATCAACTTTGGTGATGGCTTGTTAAATTTTGACTGCATCTTTTCTGATGACCATTCTTCTTCTAAAAGTGCGAGTGAATCATCCATTTTCACGTCAATTTCTGATAGAGCGACTTCTTTCTCACTTTCCAGAGAACAAAGGTTTCTTTGATGGTCTTTCGTCATTTTGTCTATTTGTTCATTCAACTGGTTTATCTTTTCATCGATCTGCTCTACTTGGTCATTTGTCTGTGTCTTCTCCAGCTCCTTCTTCTCGTCCTTGATCTTCTTCATTATTCCGTCGACATACATCGACTCCTCTATGTATCCAAGCTGCACGCACTGGTCTAGATATTTCTTCAGGTCCTTGTAGACAGAGGAAACTGTAGATTCCTTGTAGCCAAGGATAGAAACGCCGCAAAGAGCTAAATAAGTGACACTTTCCTTTGGATGGACAATTAACTCTTTCAATCTGTCTGGAATTCTGGATGATCCTTGCTCGGAATCGTATCCCTGTGATACTCTGATGTCATCTAAGTAGAGGTGGAAGTCAACATCCAATCCTTCGATCTTTTGTGATGGACTTTGGCGATTTTTCTTAGAACTGCCGGATGAGTTTGATTTATCGTTGTTTTTGAACGTTTTCTGTGGTGCTTTGAGGTTCTTTTTGTGATTTGATTTCGGAGTTACGTTTGATTTCTGTGATTTCTTTTGATCTGACTTTTTCTCGTTGATTAAGCTCTGAGGAAGAATATCGAATATCTGTGATGAGTTTCTTCGGCCTCCTGCACTGTTAATAAGTGGCGGCAACTCGCTTTCTTCGTCTGTCGAAATTGATTTTTCGTTGTAGAGGTCGTCTTCGGCCAAGAAGTCGCTTGGAGCATTAGCAACTGTCGAAGAGTTGTCTGGCATCTCAACTTCGAGCTCGTCATCTGAATTTCGTGATGATAATGGTCTTTTTCTCTTTGTGTTAGGGTCTTTGAGCGTTACTTCGTTAATCGTTGGGTAATAGTTTGCGCACGAACTGTTTCTGAAGTCTAGTTTCCATGTAATTGCGGGATCAATCGCAATTTGCGATCTTCTTCTGACTAATGATTCTTCTGGATTATACCCGAGCTGTTTCCATCTGTCATGGTTGAATTTGTGAAGTGATTTGAGGATTTCGCTTCCCATTTTATTTTCTTGGTTCAAAATAATTGGCTGGTCGTTGTTATTTGGAAGTTCTTCAACGATTATAGGATCTCCATTGTTTACTTGAGGTATTGCTTGTGTCGAACCCTTTGGAATTAATTGGCCATGTAAATTTGAAAATGATGGCTGTCGAACACTTAATGTAATGGCTTGATTGTCTTCGTCTTCGTCATCTGAGTCTTTGACTGGTTCGTCTGCAAACTCATCTTCGCCTTCTTCTGTGTTAGTAACTTCGACGTATTTTGGATTTTCAGCTTCTTCAGCAATTATATCGTCAACATTTGGTAAGGCTTTTGTAGATCCTTTTAGTATCATTTGGCCGGCATGAAGATTTGAAAATGATGGTTGTCTTACACTTAAAGTAATTTGGCCTTCTTGGTGATCATCCTCCTTTTCTTCCTCTTTCTCTTTGACATCTCCAAGGTCGACGGGGTTTGTAGATCCTTTTGGAATCATTGTTTTTAGGTTGGAAAAAGAAGGAGATCTTGCGCCGAGTGAAAGCTGCTGACCATGATCATCATCTTCTTCTTTGTCATTGTGAGCAGCCAGGGGATTATTTTGTAAAAGATTTTCTTGATTTGCGTCATCGAAATTTTGATTTGAGTTTTTAAGCAATCCTAACATTGGATTGTCATCTGTATCTGTATTTTCATTGCTTGTGTTTTCTTCTGATTTATTATCTTTTTCATTTGTTTCTTTATTCTCGTTATTTTCTTTATTTTCTTCACTATCTTCAAAATCATCGTCAAAGCTGTTTTCCCCTGGACTTTCCACTTCATTGGCTTCATTTACTTCATTAGTATTATCCTCATCATCATCACTAAAATCAGAACTCATATTTTTCTAAACAAAAAAAAGTACGTTTTTTAATGCGGTCACATTACACTGTTCTTATACGAGTAGGGGTAATTTTAGCTAAAAGTGACACACCCGTGAAGGGTGTGATTACCGATCGGTAATTTCGACAGTTTAGAATTTAAAATTTTTTATGGAACTGTTGCGAGTTTCATAAAGAATTTAAGGAATATAAGCAAAGATTTGAATCAAAATCTTAGACCTAAGCCGCTCGATTCGCTCGCGGCTTCCGCGAATTACAGATCAGCAAAGATTTGAATCAAAATCTTCGAACTAAGCCGATCGCTTCGCTCGCGGCTTTCTTTATTATTTTAAATTTGCATATTTCCATCAAAAGTTCATAAGCTAAAAAATTTCGTTTATTTTTACTAAGAAAAAAAAGGTTTTTGATAATAAATTTATTTTATTTCGAAAAAGTAACAATAATCGTAAAAGGGTATTGATAGGCTTGCTAAAGTAACTAATTTTAGCTGTCAAATACTTTTGTATTTTGAAGTAAATTAGTATAAATTTGTTTTTACTTTTATTTCGAAAAAGTAACAATAATCGTAAAAGGGTATTGATAGGCTTGCTAAAGTAACTAATTTTAACTGTCAAATACTTTTGTATTTTGAAGTAAATTAGTATAAATTTGTTTTTACTTTTATTTCGAAAAAGTAACAATAATCGTAAAAGGGTATTGATAGGCTTGCTAAAGTAACTAATTTTAACTGTCAAATACTTTTGTATTTTGAAGTAAATTAGTATAAATTTGATATTATTTTAACTCCCTTTGAAAACCTCAATTTTCCATACAGAGGGAACGGGAATAGCATCCAATATTCCCTGAGAATGGTTGCGCATTCTCAGTTCCCTCTATATTTCGAACGAAGCTCTCATCGGTCTTTTTTTTAATACTAAACGTTTTTTTTTCCTGTCACTTTTAGCTAAAATTTGGGTTTGCCTCAACTTTGATGTCGAAATTTTGATAACATGATTAACCAGTTTCTCCATAAGTTTATCCTAAGAGTATCATAGTTTATACCCTATTAAATAATTGATTAAATTTTATCTTTGATCGATAATATGTAATTATATGATGTTTTCTTATATTTACTCCCTCTAGATAGATCATTTGCATTGACCATTTCCCTTTAAGTATAAAATCTATTGTTCTTTCTAATAACAATCATATTAAAGAAGCTAATTCAGCTGATTTAGCTATTGTAGTACATACATACTTAGTAATGTAAATAAGAATTGAGCCTTGTTTTTTCAAAAATTCATGATAATTTTTCATCTTTATAAATAAATTTATTCAAACAAACAAAGAAAAGAAATTACTGGTGATATATTAGTGGGACCGGTGATCGCGCAGTGTTCTGTAATTTGTTGGAAATTTTTACTGTGTTCTTAAACCTCAGAGCTCCGTTGAACATATACCTCTTCTTTACAACGGATGGTCTCTGTATTGCAGGAATATAAGGTTGAGGTTTAGGAGGAACAGTTTTCTGGGAAATTTTCGGCAATGAAGGAAACGCTCTATCTGTAAACGAAGACATTTTCTCTATAATAAGCCTTCGGTGAGCTATCCTGTATACTGCCGAATCTGAAGAGTAAAAATGGTTAGAAATCTCGTTAATAACCTTATCTGTGTCAATACCAAGACCTTTAAGTTCTTCTATCAGTTCCTCATTTATTGGTCCTCGTACTGCAAATCCCTCTGTAAAGAAGTATTGCGGGTCGAAGATTTCATGAAAAGGATATTTTGTAACCCAGTCAAACTTAAAAACATCGCTGCAAGTAGGTCTATTGCTTGGTGACTTTGAGAGTAATGCTTGTATTAAGTTTTTCAGATTTGGAGGAACTTCATCAGGATATTCTGGGTGTTGGTAAACAATCATATTTGCAAGAGCACGCTGATTTGTTTCATCGAAAGGTAGTTGTCCTGTCGCTAATGCATAAAGAACGCAGCCAAGGGACCACATGTCAGCGGCATCGGTATAAGGTTCCCCTAAAAACATCTCTGGAGCCGCGTACTGTGGAGATCCGCAAGCTGTGTTTAAGATACCTCCAGTTCCTTCGTATGAATTACTCAATCCAAAATCAATAATTCTAATATTTCCGTATTTATCAAGAATGATATTCTCTAGTTTAATGTCACGATGAGCAACATTTAAAACCGAATGCAAATAGGCAATGCAACATGTTATTTGAACAAACATGTGTCGCAAACGCCATTCTGATATCATACCTCTATTAGCTATATCGAGTAATGTAAGTCCTTCTATATACTCCATGACGATATAATATCGATTTTCATCTTCTAATAATTCGTAAAATTTAACTGCAAATGGATGATCTAATTCTCGCATGATGTTGATTTCGCGTATTAGTCTTTCTGTTTTTTCGGAGTCTTTATTGATTCTTTTGATGGCAACAAGATCGCCAAGTTTAACATGTTTTGCTAGGTAGACTTTAGCAAAGCCACCTTCTCCGATTTTCTGTTGTATAATATAATTACCAATCTTTTTAATAACCATTGTGCTACTACAAAAAAATGATAAATCGTTCAGAAAAAAAAATAAAAGTGATTTCGTATACTTTAAATAAGTATAATGATTGTTAATAATCGATCAAATTTCCGATTTCTGAGCTAAATTGAATAAACTTCTATAAAAAATAATTGGCGGTATAGCATCCATATTATATAATTTATCCAAAATAATTAGTGATTTTAATTATTTATTGTTTGAGAACCACTTTTAATAGTTTTTGATAAAATTGATCATAATTGAATAATGATTTTGAGACAGAATTGATTCATTACATAATATGTAGCGGATTTATAAAACATAATACGTTAATTTGAGTCAAAATTGTATGAGCTCAGAAAAAATATTTTGTTTTTATATTAAACAATATTCTTATGGTTATATTTTCATATTGAAATTGTGAGTGGTTATCAAAATTTGAATTTCCTGAAAATAAATATTTAGCTCGTAATTAGTTTCTTATATTCTTCAATATTTTCAAGTCGAATTTATCATGATATTTTTCCTCAGAATTTTTATAATTTTGCTATGAAAGGTTCTTAAACTCTTCATCCTAAATAACTGTATATCATATTTCTTTGTTAACATTCATTACAGGTTATAAAATGTAAATTTCAACAGGACAATTGCAATATAAAAAAAAAAAAAAAAAGGTAGTGGGGCTTCCAGGGGCTGCGCCCCTTCTAGCCCTGAAGTTATATTTTGGAGGGCTTCCAGGCACTTCGTGCCCTCTAGCCCTGAAGATGTTTAGTATAACTTTGTCCGGACAAGTAAGGGTCTATCGTCGCTACAGGAAAAGTTACAGGCGTTCCAAGGAAGTATACTTTGAGAAGCCTTTTCCCCCTTATAGAATGAGATAAGACGGTTATTTTACAAAACTGACAACACTTTGACCGAGTAGTTTTTTGTGCTGAACAAAAAGTGTCATATAAACATCTGTCAAAAACCGCTTTTTAACTTCACTTAAAATGCCACGTAAGCTACGTAAGAATATACGTAAGAGGAAGAGAGCATTGAAACATCCAATAGTAAAACTGACACCACAACAACAGTTGCAACAACAAATAATGAATGACCCCACTATGTTGCAACAAATGTCAAGCAATCCTATGCTTTTAAACCGAGTTGTTGGTGCACAGAGTGGAGGTTTAAGAGCGGCACTTTTAGCGAAAATGGCAGGCTATGGTGGAGCTGCAGACGGAACAGCATATAACCCTCAAAGTCAAATGAATTTGAGTTCACTCAAAAATCAAATAGCAGATGTCAAAAAGTCAAACATAGACATACAGAAACAAATAGGTGAAAACGAAAAGAAACTAGAATATGACAGACACACAAAGAAACTCAATGAGTTAAACGTAGAGAAAAAGAAGAAAGAAGAACAACTGAAAGAACTAAGTACAGAGGAATATGCGAAAAAAGTGTCAGAAAAAGCAGCAGAAGTAGCAAAAATGGAACAAGATGTTATAAATTTGAAAAACCATACTACTCTCAATATAAAGTACTGAAAGATGAAGAGATAAAACAAAAAGCCCTGAAGACATATATGGATAGCGATGAGTATAAAAATGAAGTTGAAGCAAATGTAAAGGCAGAAAAACTTTTACAGTTGCAAAACCAAACCGTACAGTATGAAAACTTAGCACAAGAAAGTAAAAATAACGACGCAGCCATGCAAAAGGCAATGAAAAGCGCAGAATATATAAAAGCTAACAATGACTGGTTAGATGCCCAAGCCAACGCTAAAGCAGCCCAACTTATAGGGTCAATAAGGACAAAAATACAAGCGGATGAAGACAGTTCAAATGAAGCTTTAATGAATGCTGACTTTAAGAACGCCTTTGAAGCTCTTCATAGTAAGGTGAAACAAGTGAACGACTTCTCATCTGGAAAGAAACTGAAGTCTGAAGGTTTCGACAAAGAGTTAAGAGAAGTAGCACAAAATATGACGAAAATAACAGATGCAGCAACGAGACAGGCAGTTCAAAGCGCCTATGACGCCGTTAGAGCAACTGTTGTGGAAAGTCAAGAAAAAGAGTTACAACAGACCAAAACAGACCTAGTAAATGCTTTCTTAAAAACGAAAAGTCAGGTAGGACATTATGCTGCAGATGGAACATATGTGCCAGCTGGTGGAACTTATATACCAGCTGGTGGAACTTATATACTAGCTAGTGGAACCTATATACCACCAAACCCTCCAAGAGAAGCACCTGCACCAGGACTACCTAAAACATTTACATCGTCACATGGACACAGACACAGGCATGCACCAAAACCAACACAACAACCAACAGTTCAAAATCCAGCACCACAACCAACAGTTCAAAACACTGCACCACAACCAACAGTTCAAAATCCAGCACCACAACCAACAGTTCAAAACACTGCACCACAACCAACAGTTCAAAACACTGCACAGCAACAACCACAAACAGAGCAAGGACATAAAAGAAGTAGAGAACAAGGAAACCAAGAATTCTTAAAAATGCTTAAGGAAGACTATGGTTACCCAGATACTATTGACTTTAGTGACAGATATAAAGAAGCTATTAGAAAGTTCAAGGAAGGAAATACTGACCCGAACCTATTTAGCTTTATGGTTCAGCACCAAATGGGATATAATTTCAAACCTGGAAAATACAAGCTCGCTAAGGGATATGATTTAATAGCATATCATCCAAATGACATGAACGAATTTACTCCGAGATATTTGGTGTCAGAGCTAAATGACAATTCAACTCTCTTCATGAAACGCGTAAAAAATAGAGACGGAACGAAAGAAGAAAGGTTTATGAGTCCGGATGACTTAGATAGGGAACTTGTTAAAAACGGTCTCGGAATATATGAAATGCCAGCAGATGAGGTACAAGAAACTCCACAGGAAGAAGTTCAGATACAACCAGACATGGAAGAAATAGTTCAGCAACAACAGCTAGAAGAGCCTGAAGGAAACAAACGAGATATAAAAATTGCTCACATTTGCTCACATTTTGGCACTTTTTTTGTACGTTTGTCAAAAAATTGTGAGGAAGATCTCACAAAAATAGTCAAAATGTGAGCAAATTTTGAGAAGTGCTCACATTTTGACATACGATTATTTTCATACGTTTTTTTGATGAATTCTAATAAAACTTCATTACCACTTTCAGAACGAAGCGTAACTTTTCAGCACGTAACGCTCTATCATGTGTAGTGACATATTATTCAAAAAAACTCAGATTGCTTATCTTATAATAACAATTTCATTAGAAAAAATGCACGATTTCACGCTAAAACTTTGAAGCAATTCTTAAATTCGGATAAAAAATCGATATGTATTACACTTTAAACTTCAAAAAATGGTTCAAAATTTAGACTTAGTTTATCTTAACAATATAGCAGATTTTAAGCCGAACAAGTAGGAGTAATAGAAATAGCTCTTGAAAATAATTACAATTAGTAATATGTAAGTCAAAGTTCGAGTATTCTAATAAATAAACGTTCCGGATTTTCTTTACTACAAGAATCAATACTTAATATATAGAAGCAACAGTAAAAACTTATTAGAGATTCAAAAAGAAAGTTGACTAAAGAGAATCTTTTTATATAAGTAATTTTATTTTTTTGAAATACGAGATCGAATAAACATGTATTTTATTTTATTACTATAATAATACGTTTTTACATAGTAAGAAAGTTTAGAGACTGAAATGAAATTAAAAATTGAGAAAAAAATAAAGCTTTTCTATAAAAATTCATATTAATATATAGTATAATGATATTACAATTTATTGATAGTTGTGTTAGAAAAAAGGTACATTCACTATTTTTGACAAAATTTTAAATTTTCATGGGGTTGTAAATCTTATAATAACTAGATGAATAAGGAATAAATCCCAGTATGATGTGCATCATTATATTAAACACTATATGTAAGGCTGGTGATTCTATTAACACTTATGAAGATCTATAGTATTTGAGCAGATAAATTTGATAATTTCCAAAACTCTTATATTTCAAAATTAAAGTGTGCGAATGCATTTAAATGAGAGCAAAAAGAGATTGATGCTGTTAAAACTATGTGTTAATTTGCAATTATTTCGCATCACAAGAACTACCCAGTAAATTCGGCTATCTTTCTTTGCAATTATTCTCCATTATACATATAATATAATGGTTAGGGTTTGAAGAAAAGTTACTAGAGAATTATTGACTTTTGAAATAATGCAGAATTTTACTTGAAGAAATCATTAATTTATGAGTTCCAAATTGCTAAGCATGACGAAGGATCATTAAATTTGCTACAATTAAATACACTTATTGCAGAATTAAGATTTTTGAAATTAAAAGTTTGAAATATTGCCTTTTTGAATAAAAATTTAAATTTTATTATATAATCATGATAATATCTTATAGAAATTAAAAGAAAATATTTTAAACCATTCAAATATTTTGAATGTCTTATCAATTTAAAATATTAAAAGATAGCTTGATTTTATCATCATTAGTTGTTATCAAAGTTTTCTTCTTTTGATGAACAACAGTAAATGATTTGTTAATTACTTGTCTTCCTTTTTCGCAGCAAAATCGAAAGTTATGATGATAATCTTGCTCTCAATTTTGAAACTCTCTGATTTACAAGTAAGCATTCCTTTGGAAAAGCAGTCCTATTCTGTTTTCAAGATATTTTAAAGCCTCAATTTCATACAATGCGCAGATCTATTCGAAATTGCAAGAACTCTCAAGAAAAATGCAGCAGCAAAGAAGATTCCATAGTTTCTAGCATCAAAAATTTACAACCTTAATACAACAGTTAAAGAGAAGCTCGAAAAGAAAATATTTAACCATAAAGCTGGAAACCATTCGATATCTACTATTGGATCTAATAAAAAGTTAATTATAACATATTTAACATGCTATTTGTTGACTTTGTTCCATTATATTACCATATATATCTTTTTGAAATCTAAAATATTTTTACAATTTTAACCATGTGTTGTTGAAACCATATATCAATCTTAGCTAAAGTATAGTTTATGAGTCTGTCACCATCTAACGTATGAATTTTCAAAAATGTCAAATATGTTCATTTTTTCTGTAGATTCAGCCATAATTTCACGTTGTTATACTATTCAACTATTATTTAATATTTTTATCGATTTAAATATATGATGAGATGCTTAGTTCTCCTGGAAATCGATTTTTAATCGCAATTTTAACTTTCCAAAAAAAATTCAAAAATAAAAATCCCTCTCAATTTTCTAAGTTTTATAACTCGCCAAATCTCTAGCCAATTTTTTTGGCCCGTATAAATATTGTTTGGCACTATATAGGGATGCTATTTATCATATTTTCATCCCATTTTACTGTTATCGCCTAGTGAATGTACCTTTGTTAGAAAAAATATACAACTAAAATGTCAGTTTTAAAAAATTTAAAAATTATATTAAAACAATAGTCATTGAGGATGGTTAATTGCAAAAACTCAAGAAACTATCATTATCTCTCTTTGCTTAACACATCTACAACTGGAAACATCATTCCAAATGAAGTTCCTCAGTCTCGTCAAAATTTCTCTCTCATCTACAACAAGCTTAACTCAAAACTCAAGAAACTATCATTATCTCTCTTTGCTTAACACATCTACAACTGGAAACATCATTCCAAATGTTGCATTCAAGAATCCTATTATTATTCTTTCTTTCAATCTTTTATATTTACTCTTTAAATTCTAATATAATATAAATTCTTCATTTCCTTTGTTTAAACTTTTTTCATTTTAATACCATTTTATCAGATAGTAATTTTTGTTTTTCTCTGACCAAAAATCTTCTCAATTTAACTCCACCTTCACAAAAATTCATTGAGTTCTCTCAAAATTCTTGTATTTTTGGTATACTTAAAGTATCATCTTCAAATATTTTTTTGGAGAAAATTGACTTTGCATAATATCGTAATACTTTTTAAGGCAGATAGATTTACCGTAAGTTGAAGAACTTTTAATTTGAACAGAAATTATTCAACAAATATTCTTTTTATTTGATCAATAAATTGTAATATCATTATACTATATATTAATATGAATTTTTATAGAAAAGCTTTATTTTTTTCTCAATTTTTAATTTCATTTCAGTCTCTAAACTTTCTTACTATGTAAAAACGTATTATTATAGTAATAAAATAAAATACATGTTTATTCGATCTCGTATTTCAAAAAAATAAAATTACTTATATAAAAAGATTCTCTTTAGTCAACTTTCTTTTTGAATCTCTAATAAGTTTTTACTGTTGCTTCTATATATTAAGTATTGATTCTTGTAGTAAAGAAAATCCGGAACGTTTATTTATTAGAATACTCGAACTTTGACTTACATATTACTAATTGTAATTATTTTCAAGAGCTATTTCTATTACTCCTACTTGTTCGGCTTAAAATCTGCTATATTGTTAAGATAAACTAAGTCTAAATTTTGAACCATTTTTTGAAGTTTAAAGTGTAATACATATCGATTTTTTATCCGAATTTAAGAATTGCTTCAAAGTTTTAGCGTGAAATCGTGCATTTTTTCTAATGAAATTGTTATTATAAGATAAGCAATCTGAGTTTTTTTGAATAATATGTCACTACACATGATAGAGCGTTACGTGCTGAAAAGTTACGCTTCGTTCTGAAAGTGGTAATGAAGTTTTATTAGAATTCATCAAAAAAACGTATGAAAATAATCGTATGTCAAAATGTGAGCACTTCTCAAAATTTGCTCACATTTTGACTATTTTTGTGAGATCTTCCTCACAATTTTTTGACAAACGTACAAAAAAAGTGCCAAAATGTGAGCAAATGTGAGCAATTTTTATATCTCAAACAAACAAGTCCCTCCTTTGGAAACTAACTTCACAGAACTAGATGAAGATTTGGAACAGCCGAAAAATCTTGACCCTCAACAAGTGTATGCGGGGAATATGGAATCTTTCCAAGAGTCTAAGAAAAATTCGGCTGACATAGTAGAAGAATATCGAAAAATGTTCGCCGACATACAAAAGACTCCAACATCAGATGAAAATATTCAGCATAGAATGGAAGAACTGAAAGAAAATGTACGCAAATACAACAATCCTTTTTACTTACGACCATATAACGTTCAATCTTTGGCTGAACTCGGTGAAAATAAAAGGTTAAATTTCAACAAAACATATAGAAATGAAACATTGTTTAAAGTTCATTCAGAACCTAACCAATATGGAAACAAACCTACTTTTGTTTCTGCAGACTATGGAACTACAATGAGATGGGGTCATAAAGCTAATCCGGATAGGTGGTTCATAAACTTACAACCACAATTCCAAGAAGTTGTAGACGCAATGGAAGTGAATGGTGAACCAGATATAGCTGGTATTTTCAGCGCGGCTTTAATGCCATTGAAAGATATGAAACATGCAGATATTTTGGACCAGTATGAAATGAACATGGCTGATGGAAATATAACACCTGACGTTCTAGAACATTTATCTCAAAGAACTACACAGAACCATAGAGATGGTATATTTGGTGAAGAGTTTAGAAAGAAAGTTAGGGAGGGAGAAGGAAGAGAACCTATTGTACATGACCTTGCAAACGAAAGTTTACAAAATGTCATAAAAACTTACTTTGCAGACAATGAACCGAGAAGGGATGAATATTTAAGAAAACTCAAATGGACAGTACCAAATGAAATGTTAGTATTGAAAAACATGTTCCTTGACAAAATAAAACCAACTACAGAAATAAATGACGCAAGCCTGAAACATTGGGTAAAAGCTTTCCCATTCACAAAGATATTGTTGGTAACATGGAAAGAAAACCAGAATGGCTACAAAAACATATATTTGGAAACGAGCTTATTCCATATGGACAAGCTCTGTTTGAAGAGCTTGAACCGGAAACTCAGGAAAGAGTCATGCAAACAATAGCGTGAAGACTCAAATACAAACTATGACAAACTCTTTCTAGGATATAGGTTACCTGAGATGGGCGACCAGAGCCCAAAGGCAAAAAGGACATGGGAAATTTACAACATACTAGGTGAACATGAGGCAAAGATGCAACAACTTGAAGCAGAGGGCAAGTTACCAAAAGCGACACCAAAGAAGAAGAGTAGAACAAAGTGAAAATAGTGAAGAAGTAACTTCATCTAGTGAAAGTAGTGGCAATGAAGGAAAAAGAAGAGTTAAAAACTCAGCCAGGAAGAAAGTAAAGCTTGGTCCACGTGGGTTCTATTATGACAAATAAATCCAACTATTCTATATTTTTACCCATATGAAATGTACGCCGCTCAGAATATAACGCCAACAGTTTTGGATGCCATGAATGGAAATGTTTCCGAATGGTATAACGAATGCGACAATGCCATTAGAAGGTCAGAAATAGTTCCTGGAACTTACGAATATACAACTGCTGTTTCTTATGGAAACGTAGGTGAGTTTGGAGAAGGTTCTTCAACAACAGTAGATATTGCATGCGACAGGTTTCACATAATTTCTATTGACAACTCATTCTTATACGTGGAACAAGACATTGAAATAAAACCTTCTGCCAAGTTGTCTGACAAGAAAGGTTGCAATGGAATTTTCTATGTCGGATACCAATATGCTCCAGAAGTTTTCATGGGATATAAATATATTCTAACTCTGACTTAGTTCAAACAGTAACATGGGCAAACTATGAATGGTTCGCTTTGAGAAACTCAGTACAACCACAAGCTAGAGAACAAACAGACCAGTATGCCACCATTGAGAAAATAAAGACTTGACCCTAACGTTCCAGGAGTTTATGTTAACCTTTCTGGTTCAGATGGAAATGCTGTCACTAAAGTAAAACTGAAACTTAGAGTTCCTTTGTCATCTTTCCTCATCTTCAGGTTTTTAAGATACTTGCCAAACTGGGCAGGAAAAATTTCTATCGAACTTACTCCAAGCAAAAATAACTTAGTCATTGCACCAACACAAGACCCATTCACTCTTACAGAAGTAGTGGGAACAAATAAAACGTCATTCGCCGACTTTTGCAAAGACAAAGTTGACCTAGACTTTGGTTTCTCAAACTTCAACACTGAAGTAAACTATTATTTCAATGCTGCTGGAACTGCTTGGGACCCAGTTAAGTTCACATGCGAAAAATTTGAATGCAAGAGAATAGAAAGCAGACTTGCAGTCTATATGTTGGACCCAGATATTTCAAATGCTTTAGCTGCCAAATATATTGCAGTTCCACTTATGTTCCCTATACACCAAATATCTGTCAAAGACTTTGCAGGTGAAGTTGGAAACCAAAGTGCTGACCCAGGTGCAAGAACAGATATTGCTTTAACAACTGCAATGAAACATGCAGATACTATGTTTGTTCTGTCAGTTCACGAACTATAAATGACTATTCTTGTTTCTACAACCCCGGTATTAAATATCATATAAACATAGATGGCAAATATTATCCAAGAGAAGAATATTCTACAGTTGAAGATATGAGGTCATACAACTTGACATTAGATGCTATGAACTTTAACAACAATTTCACAACAACCATTAACCCTGAAATGCAAAGTTCTATTATGCCATATGTGAAAGTATGGACTCATACAGGAGGTCAAAAAACTCAATATACAAATGGAGACCGTTCAAACTTTTGGCTTGGCATTCCATTTGCTGACTCAGAAGACTTTATGGGTGGTATTTCAACTGTTGGTACGTAAAATACAATATACTGGTGACAGAGACGGTCCAGATGAATTGAGAGCAAAGAAGTTTACAAAACCAATAGCACTTTTCACGGAAGATGCTCTTTTGAAGATTCGTTCGATGAAACCTGCTGGGGCTCCTCAGATTGGCATAACGACAGCTTCCATCGAGCAGATTTTGGCAGCAGGTCAGTAAGTTGTTCTTGAACTGACTTCTCTCCGTCAAATATTGACAGTACGCCAGTTTGACATAATATTGTATTATAAACTTACCTTTAGAAATATCTGTAAGTTTTGAAGTTATATTTTTGTCTGCTTCAAGAACTTTCACCATTTCAGTTATACCAACTTTCTTTGCTTTATGAAAATATTTTGGTTCAGCAAAGACTGCTATTCTATAACATTTACCATTGTTTGTATAAAGAACTATTCTGTCAATGTATTTGTATTGTTTGTGTGTGTAAACTTTGTTCTGCTTCAATTCGAAGAGATACTCAAATACGTCCATCTTTTTATTCTAAGTAAAATGTCATTTCCGAAAAATAGAAGCGTAAGTGTTTCAAAAGGTTTAATGGCGGTGGCAGATGTGAAGTTAAATTCACCAACTCAAACAAACAGTCAAAGTGTTATTGTCAATGTCAAAGAAGAGATGTTGAAGTGGGGAAACCATACGAGGACGAAGATGGTATAACAATAGTTCCTGTAAAAGAACAACCAACATACCCTGAAGTTAGCAGAGACTTAAGTTCTGTTGCAGATATTCGAAACGACTACCAACAACTGAAAGACAAACTTCAAACTCAGGAGAAGATTTGTCAAGCTTTAGGTATAATGTTAAACTTGGTCGAACACAACCCTGTAAAAGTGAACTCATATGTCATCGCACCTCATGAAGTTTTGAAAGAACTATTGAAACTTTTGACAGAGGCAGACGATATAAACATCAAAGAAATAGAACCCGACGTTAGTTGCTGTGGTGTTTCATATAATGTCATTGACAAGATATACGTTATGAAAGGAGGTGAAACGTTGAACTTAAAATATAGTTTCCCAGACGTTATAAAAATATTTGACGACCACAACATTTCATTAAAATTTATTTGCTAAGAAATGGCAGAAGACACAATGGTTTATACTATTACGACTAAAAACCCTGAGTCATATAATTCTATAACAACAAACTTACAAAGTCCTCAAGGACGATATTGTAAACTAACTTTAAACACAATGACGACTAAAGCCTGTTTTGCTCTTTTGACACCAGAAGATTTATTGTTGTGAATGGTAAAAAATACTCCTTTGAAGATACTTACTCAGATATACCACCAACAGGTTTTGTTGACTTATTTAATACTTTAAGGACGAGTGTAACATGTGCTGCAACTAGAGCAGGTTTCATTATGTTTGGATGTCCGACTGAGTTTACTATAAACAATATGAGCTATAATACAAAACTTATATCTGGTTTTTACTACCAACAGTTTCCTATAACAGGAAAAGGTGTCATACAAGGAATGTCTATTCCATTGACTTTAAGTACACCTATTTTATATATTGTTTCAAACTTAGGTTCAAAGTGCTATTCGAATGTCGACAGAAACTACTATGACCAAAAGATACTCATGCGTATAAATAACACATTCTCTGCTGGTTTGCCTATTGTTCATTCGAATGCAGAATTTTCAGCTTTAGTAAACTCAAACACTTTAGCAAACATAAACTTAACCTTAGTTGACGCAAACTTTGTTCCTGTAAAACTTTTATGTCCTATGTATTTGTCAATGACGGCAGAAAGTTTCGAATTGGAAGATACAACTGGTGAAAGTATTGTATTACAAGAACAACTTCAACAACAAATAGCTCAAGAACAACAAATGCAACAAATAGCTCAAGAATAAAAAAAATATTTTTTTTTTTTATAAAAATGTACAGAATAGATGTTTCAGATTTTTATGACTTCCAAACATTCAGAAATATGTGTCCATTTCGAGACTATAACAAAGCAGTCGAGAATTTGAAACGTTTAGTCATTTATGTCGACTCTGCCCCAGAATTTTATGTTATGAAAGAATGGGATGTAGTCTTTAACAAACCAAGAGCAACAATAGTTTCAGAACAAGAATGTAGACAGAAACTTAAGAAAATAAAAGTCGTACAAGTTGGAATGAAGATGTTAGATGCTTGGGATATCTTATTGTCAAAGTTAGAAGATTTTTCAGTTCGTGGTATAAAGTTTTATACACCATCTCCAAACTTCTATTCTATCTTCACTGGATATAAATATGAACAAGTAGAATGGAAAGAAAAATATTATAGAAGCTTGGTTAGACCATGTCAAAGAAATTATATGCAATGGAAACGAAAGAGTCTATGAGTATATCTTATGTTGGTTTGCAAACATCTTACAACATCCAAGTGCTAAAAATGAAACTGCTCTCATTATAATTGGAAAACAAGGAACAGGTAAGAACACATTCTTTACAGATATCTTATGCAAACTGTTAGAGGGCTATTCGAACCCTAATATGACAAACTTAGAAAACATCTGCGGTAAATTTAACTCTTCAATAGAGAATATGAAACTTATAGTATGTAACGAACTTCAAAGTATAGATACAACAAAAGTTTTGAACTCAGATGCTTTGAAGAGTCTTATAACAGACAAAGTTGGAGTTGTTGAAAGAAAATATAAAGACCAAAGAGTTTGTGAAAATGTTGCAAACTTCATTATGGTTTCAAACAATGCTGTTCCGATGAAGTTAGAAAGTTCTGACAGAAGATATGTAGTTGTCAGAACGTCAGAAGCTCATATGCAAGATACAGAATATTTTGACGACTTAGCAGAAACTTTGACATCTGACTTTTACAACCACTTGTTCTCATATTTTATGACATTAGATATTTCTAAGTTCAATCCAAGACAAATTCCACATACCGAAGAGAGACAAACATTGTTAGAAGCAAACAAGAGTGTATATGAACTGTTCATAGATGAAACTGACTTTGAGTGTTTAGATGAAAGGTCATTGTACGATTCGTATAAACAATATTGTCAAGAATATGGTTATATGACAGCGTCTAAACGAACATTCTTGGCAAATGTCAAAAGTCTTTTAGACGTTCAGAATGGTGTATATACAAAGAAAAATTTTTCTGAGTAAATTTTAAAAAAAAATATTTTTTTATCCGATAGAAAAGATGACGAAATTCATCTCAGTAAACAAGTACATGTCAGGACTTAAAGAAGAACTAGACCCATTCACATATTTGAATGTTTACTTCTACCATTTTGAAAAGTCTTCATTCAGCAAAGTTTGGAACATCGAACCAGTTAAGTTTGCTATTGTGACTAAAAATGGTGCGAAATTTGAAGACTTAGACATAGAAGGTTTGTTAACAGTCAAAGAAAGTTTTGACAGAAGGTTCTCAAACCTTAAAGAAGGCAAAGCATACAAACTTGTTATACCTTATGAACCAAAGAAAGCAGACGACTATGAATATTATGAGTCTAAAGTTGTAGAAGTTCAAGGTAAATTGGGTAAAAAGATTTTAGAGTCTAAGCCAGTGTTTACTCCTAAAGAGGAAGAGAACATTGACATTGACCCAGAAATGTTCTAAAAATAAAATTTTATTTTTACATGTCAAATTTCTTCTTCTCTGGCTCTGGTTCTTTCTTCTCTTCTTCTACTTTCTTTTCTTTCTTTTCTCTCTTCTTCTTTTCTGGTGGAGTTATGTCAAACTTCTCAGAACCATATTTTTGTAAAAGTTCTTTGTCCTTTAATAGCTCTTCTATTCTGTTTTCTATTTCATCTTCAAGAACAGCGCATGTGTCTTCTTTGCATTCTAAGAAGTTTTGTTGGACTTCATCTCTCCAAGAGGCGTCATCTCTGTCAACAAGTCTGTCATTGACAAATTTTAAGACTTCTCTGCTTAATGTTTTATGGTTCTTGTCATATTCCCAGAAACAGAACTTTAGAACAAATTCACCTTTCTTGTTTACACTATGTAAGATTTTATGGTCGACAGATGTTTTGCTGTCGAAAAGCTTGTCTCGAATATAGATGGCGAAATCGCTAGACATTTTCAAAAAGATAAAAATTTTAATTTTTCTAAAAATATGTTAGAAAAAAAGTTTGCTGACATTGACAAAAAATTTGAGAATGTTTTAAATAAGAACAAGGTGAAATTAGAAAATGCTCAGATAAAACCCATACATGACAAGTTCTTATTTGCTCAGAATGGTATAACAGGTCTAATTGCACCACCTGGGTCGGGTAAGACTTTCACTTATCTTAAAATGGCTGCACAACAACAAGAACTAGATGAGAAGAACCCATTCTATGAGTTAGTTGTTATTTGTAGTACTTCTGGTCAATTTGACCAAACCGTAAATTCGTTCAAAGATATTATAAAGAAGTCTAAGTTAGTATGTATAAAAGACTCTGAGTTGTTAGATTGGATAAAGAAGTACCAAAGAAGAGTTTTGAAGTACAATGCTATAAATGAGTATGTCAATTCGAAGTTTAAAGACCCAAATGAGGAAATGCAGAGAATATTAGAGAAGAAACACTTCAGAAACAAACAGAAAGAGATAGAATACATTTCGAAGAAATTGCAATCTTACGATTGGAAGACTTACCCTCACAGATGTCTTCTTATCTTAGATGATTTCGCCTCTCATCCTTTGTTAAAGAACAGAGAACAAGATATGTGTCGAATTCTTAAGAAGCTCAGACACTTCAACATCTCTGTTGTCATTTGTGTACAGACAGCAAAGAGTTTAAGTAAGGATGTAAAGAGAATACTTACTGACATTGTACTTTTCCCCGGATTGTCCGAAGACGATTTCATGGAACTTATGAAAGAGTCCATGGCAGGTAAGTTTGACAGACATGAACTATGGGAGAAGTACAAAGTCATACAAGACCCTCATACTTCTTTCAGAATTCATATCTACGCGAACAAAGTTCAAATTGTAAAAAGTCAAGCGTAAAAAATGTAAGTGTTTTAGTCTTAGTCTGTTGTGGTTCTGCAGCTTTCGGTTCTTCTGGCTTTGGAATGGACTCGGTTGGTGGTACGTCGGACATTCGTTTGTGTCCTGTCGGAAGGAAGGACTTTTCCTGTTGGAAGGAAGGACTTTTCCTGTCGGAAAGAAAAACTTTTCCTGTCGGAAGGAAGGACTTTTCCTGTCGGAAAGAAAAACTTTTCCTGTCGGAAAGAAAAACTTTTCCTGTCGGAAAGAAAAACTTTTCCTGTCGGAAGGAAAAACTTTTTCTGAAGTTCGACCAAAAAGTTCTCAATTTTCGAAAATTTGAATGGTTTACGGACGGACAACTGGAAAAACTTTTCCTGTTGGAAAGAAAAACTTTTCCTGTCGGAAAGAAAAACTTTTCCTGTCGGAAAGAAAAACTTTTCCTGTCGGAAGGAAGGACTTTTCCTGTCGGAAGGAAGGACTTTTCCTGTCGGAAGGAAGGACTCGGAATGCCAGAAGGAAGGACTCGGAATGCCAGAAGGAAGGACTCGGAATGCCAGAAGGATTTGACAAGCCAATTTACCATCTAGAGCTACCTGAGCCATCTGAAGTCAAGACCAAAAATAAATGGTTCATCTACTCTACTTGTTTGAAGTTGTCAAAATACTCTGTTATTTTTTCCTTTAACAATGGCAAATCTTCTTTGAAGGTAAGTATTGTACAACCTTTAATATCATAGTGTGTTTGAGGTAAAGTATCTTGAACTATTTGTTTCACATCTTCATTTGGTGTCATTGAAATCGGTAAGTTTTCGCGATAGAACCAATTTCTGTTAGATTTGTAAATCTTAGCAAGGTCGTAAAAGCTTTTGTTGTTTCTTCTGACTAAATGCAACATAACCATATCTCTGTCTTCTTCATTTTCCATCTCTTCAGTATAAATCATATACTTATAGTTCTTTTCCTTTCCTTTTGGTACCGAACGTGGTATTCTTTTCTGTATGTTTTTGTCTTCTTTCATCATATCTTCTCTCTGCTTTGTACAAAGTTCGTCAAGTAGCATAAGTATGTAGATTGCATAACGAGGTGAAGCCCACATTGCTATTGAACTAACTAGGAACTTATGAACATATATACCTTTTAGATGTGATGGTAAGTTTTGTCTGTCTTGGTACATCTTTTTAAGTTCTACATGTTCGAACTCACTGAGGAGTTCTTGTGTGCTTTGGTTTCTGAACCAGTCGTCTGTATGTTTGGTATCTGGAGCAAAACATGCTGTCAAAATACTTTGCATTTGGTACATGTCATCTTTGACCGAACGAATGAGACGGAGTTGTTTGTTTAACTGAACCCACTCGTATTCTTCATTTATGGCTTCATGAACGATAGCAGTTGTTGTGTTCTCTGTTGTTGTCATTTCTGTCTTTACATACAAAATAAAAAAAATATTTTATAAAAAATTAGCGTTATTTTCTTACTTTCACAAAAGACCAAAAATAAACGCTTTACATGTATTTTTCAGCAACTTCGTCAAATAATTTTATAGCTTTATCTATCTCATCTACTTCAAACGTTTCTTTACCTTTTATGGGAGCACCATACATTTTCTCAAAAACTTCAAGCAGTTCTGTTTCAGCAGCTCTCATATCGTTAACAAACACAACCTTAACTCTATTGACTATACTGTCATATCTTTTAGTTATATTATATGTTCTTCCTATCTTATATCTCTTTGTATTGAAGTCCTTCGGTTTCTGAACGATGTAAAGTAAGCCTTCACTGCAACGTTCCGTATCGAATGAACCATATGTTATGAAGTTATATCCAACAACTGGGTCTAACCATAACAAAACTATTGGTATAAGACTTTTGTCTATAAGATATGCTGTAGTTCCATAGAATCTTACCGATATCAAAAGCTCAGGATTTCTTGTCAAAATTTTCTGAGTTGAAGCATTTCTAACCCAGTCCTTTGCTCTCTTTCCAGATGGTGTTAGAATGTCTGACAAAGAATATTTGTTGTATTTCTTTGAGTATCTTACGTTTAAATCACCTATTCTAACCATTTTGGTGTTATTGTCTATCTTTCTAACTGTTTCAAACTCAGTGTTTGTCATTTTCTGTCTTTACATACAAAATAAAAAATATTTTTTTAAAAAAACTAACGTTATTTTTTTATTTTGTATAAAAGATATGATTTCAGGGATTTTTTTTACGAAGTGCAAAAGTTCTCTTCGTAAAAAAATAACAGTTATATAATGAAATTTGGTCATTTTTTCACGATTTCAGGGATTTTTTTACGAAGTGTCAAAGTTCTCTTCGTAAAAAAATAACAGTTATATCATGAAATTTGGTCATTTTTTTACGATTTCAGGGATTTTTTTTACGAAGTGCAAAAGTTCTCTTCGTAAAAATATAACAGTTATATAATGATTTTTGGTCATTTTTTCACGATTTCAGGGATTTTTTTTACGAAGTGCAAAAGTTCTCTTCGTAAAAATATAACAGTTATATAATGATTTTTGGTCATTTTTTTCAGCAAAAATATATTTTAGGTGGAACCAGGTCCCTCGGTCCCTCGGTCCCTCGGTCATTTTAACTTCTCTGAAAAAGTGTGACAACATGACATTTTGACAACAGTCCAGGAAATAAACTTCATCGTATATGTTTTGTCAAAGTTCTCTTCGTAAAAAATATATTTTAGGTGAAGAACTGTAGGTGCTACCATGCTACCATGTGCTACCAGGTCAACTAACATCTTTTTGAAAATGGTGACAACATGACATTTTGACAACAGTCCAGGAAATAAACTTCATCGTATATGTTTTGTCAAGACTTCATCGAAATGAGTGTAAATCAGACAAAAATATATTTTAGGGTAGATGGTTTTTAGGTGTCACTCGGTCACCAGGTCCCTCGGTCCCTCGGTCAACTAACATCTTTTTGAAAATGGTGACAACATGACATTTTGACAACAACACAGGAAATAAACTTCTTCGTATATGTTTTGTCAAGACTTCAGGGATTTTTTTTACGAAGTGTAAAAGTTCTCTTCGTCAAAAAAATACAGTTATATAATGAAATTTGGTCATTTTACTCAGCAAAAATATATTTTAGGTGAAGAGGTGAGATCTCACCCGTTTTTTCACCTCTTTTTTCACCCCATATGTCCTTACTGAAAAAGTATGTGTTCCATAGGTCATTTTACTCAGAATTTTATACAGAATTCAATAAAAAAATATTTTAGGTGAAGAGGTGAGATCTAACCTCTTTTCTCACCTGTTTTCTCACCTCTTGAATTTTGTATAAAAGATATGATTTCAGGGATTTTTTTTACGAAGTGTAAAAGTTCTCTTCGTAAAAATATATTTTAGGTGAAGAGGTGAGATCTAACCTCTTTTCTCACCTGTTTTCTCACCTCTTGAATTTTGTATAAAAGATATGATTTCAGGGATTTTTTTTACGAAGTGTAAAAGTTCTCTTCGTAAAAATATATTTTAGGTGAAGAGGTGAGATCTCACCTCTTTTCTCACCTCTTTTCTCACCTCTTTTTCACAAGCGTCTTACATGAATTGTACGATGTATATTTGAAATCCTAAACAATTTCGTAGCTTCGATTTCTTCTTTTAGTATGTCAAAAGTTTTCACAATGCCGAAAGTTTCTTTATATTTCTTCTTGACATCTGAAAGAAGGAAATCGTCAGCTGTTGGATAGTTTTTGTTTAGAAATGTCAACATGTCCATTTTATCTTCTGCTGGTTTCTCTACTTCTTTCTTTAAGTCAGCATAGTCGTTTCTCATTCTTTCTATCTCTTTGACGGAGTAGTTATATTTCCTCATTGCTGCTTTACATTTTGAACATTGTGGGTTCATTTTAGCATTGTACATTGAAATTTGACCTGCAAGTACAACTATAGCGTCAATGGTTTTCTTTAACTTAAAAGTTGCTGGTTTTATTTGTTCGTTCCATACTTTACCTCTTTTATCTTTATCTCTTATCTGCCATACACATTCAGCAACTAACGAAACAAAGTTGTCGTAGGTCTTAAATTCTTCAGATTTATATATGTCAATGACATATACCATATCGCAGTCTTTGTCCATGACTTTGTGGTTGCAATGAAATCCAAGAAACTCATAGTTACTCTTACGTATGAACTTCTTTATTTCTACTGAGTCGGTTGGTCTGACTTCTATTTCATCGAATTCAGGAATAGTAAGCTTTTGTTGTTGTATTTCAGGAAGTTTAGGTAAATGGTCAATAATATCCTGCATGTCATAAAGATATTCTTCATTTGTTTCATCTTTCGCACAACAGTCCAAAGTACTTGTTAAAAGTTCTTGCTTTATCTTCTGGATTTCTGTTTCGAAAGTATATGAAGAAGGAATGAAGCTTTTCATCTCTACTAACATTGAAGTTGGGTTCATGACTAACGAGTTTGGTGCTGTTGTTGCTAACATGTTCTTACAATAAAAATAAAAAATATTTTTTTAAAAAAACTAACTTTATTTTTTATTTCGGGAAAATTCATGAGTTTTGGTTGAAAAATACGGTGGAGCCAAAAGTGGCTCGACCTCAAAACAAGCATTTTGTGAAGAATATACCAACCGCCGGAATTCCGGCGGTTGCTTTTTATACAAAATTCAACGGGTGACAAAACATGTACGATGAAGTCTTGACAAAACATATACGAAGAAGTCATGACAAAACATTTACGTTCATGTTTGACAAAAGCATATACGAAGAAGTCTTGACAAAACATATACGAAGAAGTCTTGACAAAACATGTACGATGAAGTCTTGACAAAACATATACGAAGAAGTCTTGACAAAACATGTACGATGAAGTCTTGACAAAACATATACGAAGAAGTCATGACAAAACATATACGAAGAAGTCTTGACAAAACATATACGAAGAAGTCTTGACAAAACATATACGATGAAACCTTGACAAAACATTTACGAAGAAGTCATGAAAATTCAACAGGTGAGAAAAGAGGTGAGATCTCACCACTTCACCTAAAATATATTTTTGTCTGATTTACGCTCATTACGATGAAGTCTTGACAAAACATTTACGATGAAGAAGTCATGACAAAACATATACGAAGAAGTCTTGACAAAACATTTACGATGAAGAAGTCTTGACAAAACATTTACGTTCATGTTTGACAAAAGCATATACGAAGAAGTCTTGACAAAACATATACGAAGAAGTCTTGACAAAACATGTACGATGAAGTCTTGACAAAACATATACGAAGAAGTCTTGACAAAACATATACGATGAAACCTTGACAAAACATTTACGAAGAAGTCATGAAAATTCAACAGGTGAGAAAAGAGGTGAGATCTCACCACTTCACCTAAAATATATTTTTGTCTGATTTACGCTCATTACGATGAAGTCTTGACAAAACATTTACGATGAAGAAGTCATGACAAAACATATACGAAGAAGTCTTGACAAAACATTTACGATGAAGAAGTCTTGACAAAACATTTACGATGAAACCTTGACAAAACATTTACGATGAAGAAGTCTTGACAAAACATTTACGATGAAACCTTGACAAAACATTTACGATGAAGAAGTCATGAAAATTCAACAGGTGAGAAAACAGGTGAGAAAAGAGGTGAGATCTCACCACTTCACCTAAAATATATTTTTGTCTGATTTACGCTCATTACGATGAAGAAGTCATGACAAAACATATACGAAGAAGTCTTGACAAAACATATACGAAGAAGTCTTGACAAAACATGTACGATGAAGTCATGACAAAACATGTACGAAGAAGTTTATTTCCTGTGTTGTTGTCTAAATGTCATGTTGTCACACTTTTTCAGAGAAGTTAAAATGACCGAGGGACCGAGGGACCGAGGGACCTGGTTCCACCTAAAATATATTTTTGCTGAAAAAAATGACCAAAAATCATTATATAACTGTTATATTTTTACGAAGAGAACTTTTGCACTTCGTAAAAAAATCCCTGAAATCGTGAAAAAATGACCAAAAATCATTATATAACTGTTATATTTTTACGAAGAGAACTTTTGCACTTCGTAAAAAAAATCCCTGAAATCGTGAAAAA